GGGTAATCTCACACTGCAGACCAGAGGAGTGGAGGAGAACACACTGTCATTTCAGATAAAGAAAACAATCTGTCCCGGTTACATTTTACTTAATCCAATCAGGAGGCTGAAAGAGCACAAAGCTGACAGGAGCTCCGATAGCATTCAGGGAGATATTGCAAAAACTAAAGGCATCTTATCCCTAAGAAATTAAAATATAAATACATATTTGGTCAATATGAAATAGTCTCCTGTGCTATTTTCACATATTTATACGCAAAATTGGCCCTTTACTATGCAGATGAGCCTAATTGCCTTGTTAAAAACTCATTAATTTCTAATGCAATAGCACTGTGTGTAAACATTGCATTCAAATGGGGAAAAAGGGTATTATATTATTAAGAAATCACATTGTTTCTTCTCTCTCCCGCTGCAAAAAAGGTTAAATTGCAATATATTCTTCGTGATTTAGGCCCTGAATGTACAAGAGACTGGAACAAAAAATAACGTCTAATGGGAGTCTTTGCTTACGTCAGCGTTATCGTTAGAGACCAGCTTGAGGAGTGATGGATGACATGTGATGAGGATACAAAAAGTTACTGTATTCCCTTACGAAGTAATCAGATATCTGTAACATTATTATGTTTCAATTTAAACTAAAACGGAGCATTTCAATGGTGGTTGTTTGCTCCACACCTTGCTCTTAATCTCTGCAACAGTCGAATCAAAATAGAAAACAGGTTTCTGCCGACGCTAACCTCAGTGTTAGCATGTCGGCTAACCTTTTGAAAAAGAGATGTGATGCCGTCTGTCGTTGTCTTTCTACACACACTGGTCTTTGTGACATCGCTGCCAGGTTACATTAGAAAAGGATGGGGGATATATCCGAGAATAGCCTCCCTTTTGAGCCAAAACAATCAGATATGAGCAGCAGATCTGGCACGGACGTGAAGTCCTGTGGTGAGAGTGCAGTGTCGGAGACATATGGTGCATTATGTCTGACTGTGTGAGTGCTGCTCTGAGAGGGAGATGAATACCAATATGATATCTTCAGAATCATATTAGGAATCAGGAGTGTCTCTCTATACACTTTCTTATCTCTGTAGACACTATACTCTATAGATGTACACAGATTGGATAAGCCTCCTTTCACCCCGGGGTATCTGCTGCCATTTTCACTGTTAACCAGCTATGACGTGCAGTTGACCTAACCAGTGTGATTTTAATAATGTCATGTGATGTGTTATCTGACAGCAGAACGCTCAAAGAAAGACACAAGGACCTTTTTATCTGGAAAATCAAGATCAGTGCAGATTGGAAGTCACACACACACACACACACACACACACACACACACACACACACACACACACACACACACACACACACACACACACACACACACACACTGATTGTTTGCGGCCTGCTGGTGATGGATAGAGGTGAGTCCTGTCAGAGAGAGGATTAGAGCGGCTGTGAAAAAGCAGAGAATTATTGACGGAAAACAGGAGGATTTAGCTCTGCAGCCTGCAACAGCCTCTACACACACACACACACACACACACACACACACACACACACACACACACACACTTACACATGAACTAGTGATGAGTGTCTCGGGTCACTTTAGACTGACATTGCTCAGGCAGCCATAAATCCAAGCTGTGGCCTCACATGACCCTCATCCCATAACTGCAGGCAGATAACAACAGTGCTCCAAATCCTGAGGGCCAGACGAGTGTTGTGAATTATTTATGAGGGAATGCACGGGGACACACACAGTCAGACACAGAAGAACACACACTTATGCATCCTAAAATACATCCAAACGTTTGTAAGTCACATCATTGCAGATTCAGAATAAACCGTGGATGCTTAAAGGGGACCTATCATGCAAAATGCACTTTTGTACGTCTTTTCTACATGAATACGTGTCCCCGGTGTTCCAGGGAACTCACCAAGTGTCAGAAAACACAACCCTCTCTATTTTCCTCCATACCCAAATCTCTAAAAAAGGGGCTGCAACGGATCTGATAAAAACTGATCCAGATTTGAACACTGTCCTGACGTCAGGACGGTGGCGCTACGGCTATTGGGCCAACTCCACCAATCAGGAGGAGACAGCCACGGCCATTGCCGTTCGAAAGCCCTGGAGACGCTGTAGTACATATGCCAGGCCTGTAGGTGGTGCTGTTCTCACAGAATCAGCCCTTGCAAAAACAGAGCTAACATTTTTCAAATTGAGCAAAATGAGGCATGGCTAAAATGCATGATCTGTTTGGTATTTTGAAAAAAAAAAGTATAAATATGCCTTATATAGGTATGGTCCTACACTATATTATTCAAATATAGCATGATAGGTCCACTTTAAGTTAAAGAAATTTCTTATTCTTCTGGAGATTTCTCTGATGTCCATCATGTCTTTCCTTCCCTCTTGATCCTCCTTATCAACTGTCATTATTTTGCCTATCAGCGGTGTGTTATCGAGTGTTAACAACCTCCGAAATGTCCAAATCAGAATTCAGTATTCAAGCCGTGTAAAAAACTAGGATACAATCTCTGTTTTTGGTTTGTTTTTAGCTGCACGAAAGAGGATGAGAGTGGAAACACAGGGAGAATATCAAGAAGTACAGAGAGTGTATAAAGGATTGGACAGAAAAATATGTTGTGACACTTCACGGACAAAGAGGTTGCATTTGTTGGAGGAAGGACATGACCTGTATCTGTTTAGTGTTGTTTATGTTTCTTTCTTACAAGGGCACTGAGAGAGTATTTGCAATTGTAATGCAGGCGCCCCACCTGGCTGCTTAGACCTCCAAAGGGCACGCTTAATGAGTTCACTGTGCGGTAATTCAATACTGATGACAGGTAGTCGTCTAATAACAAGCAGGTGGACAGCAGTGAGGCTCAGAGTCACTGCAAGGAAATGTAACTGCACCTTTCTCTCAGTTATTTCCCAGTAAATATTCAAGAAAGTGTCTTCTTTTTAAACACATTGTTCTGTTTTTAACTCAGCAGGTGAACCTATATGTTCATACAATAGTGTGTGTGAGCTTAACTGTGTGTATTAAACTAAAACGGAGCATTTTCTGTCAGCTCAGATTTGTATTTCTGCTTTTTTAAACTGTAGTATGTGCTCATGTGTTTGTACTGCCTGATATGCTTTTTTAAAGGGCAGGTTTGTCCGACACTAGCATCAGGTCCGCAGCCTGACTGCTGTGAAGTCCTGCTGCTGTGAAAATGTAATAAAGCACAGAGATAATCGCTGCTTACGTTTGAATAATGGCTTTGTAAAATGGATCCGTGCTACACCGTGCACAGATTATGCTTCATGCTGCTGACTCAGTGAAAGCATGGCTGGGGTTTTGGGGGTTAATGCGACATGTCCTCATCTGCCAACAACCTCAAAGTCTAAACCTCCACAGGTCAAACTCTGCCTCATCTTTTATGTATCGCTCCCCCCATTGATTGTGGATTCATGAATACATATTTCTGTATCACACTCCAGCATGGAGGTTCTCAACACGACAGAGGAAATATTTTTGCTCATTTTTACACCACTTCCTGTCATTTTTCATCCCTGTCTCTACTCAACTACTTCCACTCATTCTGTATTGAAGGTCACAGCCATTTCCAAACACCTTGTTTTTTCCTTTTCTTGGTATTTATTGTTCACTCTTGAATTATCTTGCAGGTTTTCAGAGTTGCAGTTGACTCAGAGGAAGCTCAGTGTTGGTTTCTTTGTTCATGATGTTGATGTTTGAAAGGAGACAGCTCGGATAAAGCCATTGGGTCTGCCTATATGAATTAGCATTAGCATACCAACGTCACGTATTCATTTATTTTCCTCATTCGTGTGTGTGTGTGTGTGTGTGTGTGTGTGTGTGTGTGTGTGTGTGTGTGTGTGTGTGTGTGTGTGTGTGTGTGACCTGTCCAAACCAAGTCCCACCTGGGGAGTGTTGGACAGACCACCATCTGCTCCGTGCCCCCACATTGAACTACCTGCTTCCTCCTCTTCACCTTCATGCTGTGATATAAGAACTACCCAAATTGTTTACTTAAAGGGGACCTATCATGCAAAATGCACTTGTGTACGTCTTTTATACATGAATATGTGTCCCCGGTGTTCCAGGGAACTCACCAAGTGTCAGAAAACACAACCCTCTCTATTTTCCTCCATACCCACATCTCTAAAAAAGGGGCTGCAACGGATCTGATAAAAACTGATCCAGATTTGAACACTGTCCTGACGTCAGGACGGTGGCGCTACGGCTATTGGGCCAACTCCACCAATCAGGAGGAGACAGCCACGGCCATTGCCGTTCGAAAGCGCTGGAGACGCTGTAGTACATATGCCAGGCCAGTAGATGGTGCTGTTCTCACTGAATCAGCCCTTGCTAAAACAGAGCTAGAAATGGTCAAATTGAGCAAAATGAGGCATGGCTAAAATGCATGATCTGTTTGGTATTTTGAAAAAAAAACGTATAAATATGCCTTATATAGGTATGGTCCTACACTATATTATTCAAATATAGCATGATAGGTCCACTTTAAGTAAAAGCAAGCGAGAAACTCAAGAGGTAACACAGGGATGTTAGCCTTTGCAGACCATTGACATGCACACAAACCTGTATAACACACTACAGGAAAGAAAAAAGCCCCTTTCCCCTCCCTCCTTCTCATGCCGTTTTGTCCCCAAAAGACAGGGTTTACGACCAAACCCAACATGTTTCCTCTCTGATTTTTAAAACTAAGCTGATTATGCACACAGTCACTTTTAATGTCTCTTTAATCCACCTTCTCGCCAATGCAGATCAAAGTTTCCCCACTTTCATCGACTTTAAAGCAGAGAGCATGCATGTGGCGGTGGAGCTGTTGTGTTCCCCCCCCACCCTGCAGCATTTCTCCAGTAATTGCAACTCTGAAATGTGTAAAGAAAGCTCAGCGTGAACACATGGAGCGGAGCATTAGCCACCAGGAGTGTTTTCATATGTTGTGCACTCTGTTTTGTATTCAAGGTGCAGAGATGTGCATGCACGGAGGACGAGGAGTTGGGAATTAAGCATGGGAGAGAAAACATGCCGAAGATGAAACGATAAAGAAGGTGAGTTCCACACATGTTTGTTAATATACTGCTGTACTATAACTAGCATTGGATGCAGCTTTGTTACATTGTATTCTATATCAAGTCATTGGACTCTTTTCTAACAGCTCCTAATTTAAATCCAGTCCCAAGGTTTGATAGACATTGTGTTAAAGGTCCCATGTCATGGCCATTTCTACTGATCATATTTCCATTGTTGAGGTCTACTAGAATAGATTTAAATTGTGCAATGTTCCAAACTCACATTGGTTTCTCATACAGCATCTCTGTATAGCATGTGTATTCACTCTCTGTCCTAAACGGCTTGTTGGAGCTCCTGCACCCCCCCTCCAGCGCGAAACTCATCCTGAGCACACACAAACACTCACAGCTGAAGTAAAAACAATAAGTGTGGCTTGATATTGAGTAAGAAAAAGGTTTATAACGCTGTGAGAATGGGTCTGCGGAGAGCATTTCTCCACCATCCCAACTCGTCTATTACCAACCAGGGAGCTCTATGCAAGTCAATGGGGACTCCCTGGTAGTTAGCCAAGGGATCCTGGTGTGTGAGGTGCTCCGTGGATTGGTCCATTTGAGCCAATCCGGTCATTTGTTGTTGATTTGGGTGTTCACACGTCACGATACCCAGGAAGAAAACAAATGGAAAAAGAGAAATGTCCAACGAGGCGTTCTGGGGCAGCATAGACAGGTCTTTTCTGTGTTAGAGTTTTACTCGCTACAGGGTGTACTTTGAGGGTTTGTGACTCTGCAGACCGTTTACATGCAGACAAACCTTCATAACACAAGGGGACGGGTAATAACCAGAAAAGCATGACATGGGACCTTTAAGGATATTACAGCATCCATTACATTTTGCAGCTCCAGAAGACGGTAGAGAATTGGGCAAATAATGTCAAATACATATGTGAAAAATATCGGTAGAAATCCCTAAAAATATGACAAAGATATTAGAAAAAAAGAAAATCTGAATTTGATGGGAGAAACCGCACTGCATCCCTGCCTGCGCTTCACGGTTATCCAGGCTTCAATTCCTCAATAATCATTTCACTATAATATAAATGTACACACCTTGATGATGTCATACATTACAAAGCCCATTTTATCAATTGTTTCCAAGCTCAATAATAAAGACAGAATCATTTCTAGTCTGTCTTGTAAATTGAGAACTTACTGGAGTCGCTGGACTATACATCACCTCTGTTTAGGCTGACTCTACACACTGTCAATTTTCACATTTACACTTGCACAATTCACCTTTGACCCCTTTGAATTCAGCGCTGCAATGTCCCGGCTTTACCCCCCATTAGAGGAGAAGCATCCGTCAGGGTCGACAGGCTGCTATCGATGCAGCACAAAAGAGACAGAACGCTGAGCAAAAAGCAGCCGAGTGGCGAAATGCATACAAATAAAAAAAGAGAGGAATGACAGAAAGATGTGGAGATGGGAAAGAAGAGAAATGATGAAGGGGGGGTTTCTCACACAGGCTGTTTGGACTAAATGTTCTTGTCTGATAATAACTGGTGACGGAGCAGATGGCGCTGGTGTGATACACAGTTTAAAAAGTGTGCAAAAGTGCTTAACAGCGAGTAAAAGTGCTGAACATGTTGACTGTGCCAAGCATATGTCAAAGCACTCAGTAAACAGGGGGGTTATTTTTGTCACAAATAAAATCATTATTACCGGCATTAGAGTCAGCGTGTCACTGCTGGCTAATGGAGGCTGAATAATACATCTATCCTGATATATCCTTTTTTTTTTGTTTCCTACAAAGACACATCATTTCTGGAAATAAAGGCGTTAGTGAAGATAGGGGTGAAAAAAAAGCATCCTTTATGATTCTGGAAATATCCTCAACAACAAGTTTTTGATGTATTTCAATTTGAAAAACATGCTTTCTGTGACGCAAAGTCAACGTAGGGGATATGATGATGTCTGTGTTGCTTTGTGGTACATATGATAAGCTCATTTCCCCATTTCAAATGATCTTATCTAGTGTAAATCTGCTCTTCCCTAGCAGTGGTCTGTTAGCGAAAAATAACACGTAGAAACTGACGAATCAGAATCAAGTATTCAACGAAGCCGTGCAATAAGTACATTACATTATCCCGCTTATTACACGGCCACATTCTCAACAAAGTAATGATATGACTCCCACTATTAATTGAAATGCTTTTATGGATTTAGAAAATGATTTTATTGATTTAAAAAATAGTTGTATGTATTGATTTAAATTGACATGCATCCGCTAAGGAAAAGTGTCCGTTGTTACCGCTTGAAAAACGTAGCAACGGCAGGAAGGCGGAGCTTTTTGATTACAGATTTGAAAACATCGTTGCTTGCTTTAAAAGTAGCACAATTCATGATGTCAAACCTTGGAAAGTATCTAGATATCCCTGCCCTAATGCCAAAGTAACTGGCAACTGAATATGTGTCGCCGTTTGATGTCTATGTCTGGACCGCTGCGTAAAAAGGAGGGTTTCTGCCCGTTACTTCTCCGCTGTTTCCTTGTCGCTCTTGTCTTGTCAGTTAGAAAAGCAAACTGCATGCAGTTTGCTTTTCGGCCAAAACTGTATACACAGTTAAATCGAACGGACTTCTTTGTGCAGATGTGAGCGTCCTTAACAACGGTCAATAAGTCCTTGACAGCGGTCTGTCTGTTCTGGATTAACAACGTGTCACGTGTTCTGAATTGACCAATCAGAATCGAGTATTCAACTAAGCCATGTAATAACGAGCTATAATGCAATGTTTCGGGTTGTTTTACAGCTATTTTCTTTACAATCCACCTTTTTTGTCCGAATAAAATGGTGTGTTCATAATGATAACAGCAGCTGCAGCTCAATTAGAACAGAACACTTGAGTGGTTCATTTGTAATAACGCCTGGGATCCAGAACTGAACCCTGAGGCATGCCAGAAATCTGGATTTACAGCGAGCTTAGCATCTTATCATTTGCAGCGACTCGGGTCAGCGTTCGAAGGCTATTCCAAGAGAGGAGATGTGTTTTACAAACTGAGCTCAAAGCCAGTGTGTTCCCAGGGAGGGAGAGGATTCAGAACAACACTGATTCCCCGCTGTGCAACAACACTCTGCAACTCAAGTTATTTGACAGCAAAATCTTGATGTTATCCTGGGCAAAAACAACATTTTGGGGTTTCCAGCAACTAGCATATTTCTTGTATTCTGTGGAGTGTGTTTATGGAGATTAGGCGAATGAGTAATGTGTAATTAGGGACGATCGGATGAGGTAAATCTCGGCCAGTGGGAAGAAATCCATGAAGCTAATACTGGCAATCACAGCCGAACAGAACGGACACCCGGGGGTTGTGAAGAGGATTGATAGAAGAATGGAGAAGGATTTAAGAGAGGACATACTGACAGATGTGTGCGAGCGTCTTCTTATATCAAACACTCACAGGGTTGGGGAGTAATGGATTACACATAACGGGATTACATAATCACGGTACGATAAATGGAGTTCAATGTTCATAAAATAGTCAGGAGTCATAAATCTATCACTCTCTGGCAGGCTAATGACGTCTAAAAGGACTCGATTATGTCTCCTGTCAGCCAACGTCTGTCAAAGACTCGATACTCAGCATGTCTCCTGTTGCTAGAGCTTGTAACTTGTTGCAGGATATCTTGGTGCTGAAGAGATAAAAGACATGAGTAATGCACCGTAAAGTTACTGCAGCAGAGAGTTGTTTTTATATGCATGCATACTTGAATAACCCTTTAATATTAGCCACAGTCTTGCGAGACAATATCCTCAAAGCAAAATAACTCAATTTAAGATCCCACATTTTGTTTGTTCATCTGATGTCCATTAAACCAATGTTTTTGTACGAAATGTCCTCAATTTCACTATTAATTTAAGTATTTACAGAGTGTTTCTTCCTCTCAAGGTCAAACACTCATAGGAAGCAACAATTGTGCTCTTACGGAGCGTCCACACAGCAGCGTTAAAAAAATCTTGGAGGTGGGCGGATCTGAAGCTTGGGGATTTTTTGCGAGCAACGCGACCAACAACATGAATCTCCCGCCCCCGACATACGAAGCAAAAAAGCCCGAAGTAAACTGGATATAAACTCCCCAAACAGGCGAAAACCTACCACTGTCTCTGCCACCTCCCTCCATGCCTGGCTCCTCCGGTTTGTATCCCGGTAGGTAAATAGGGACTGGTCATAAAGCACCGGGTGATTCCCTACCGCTAATTTCTCCTCCATGTTTTTGGAATATGAGGAAATGACCTGCGGTATGTCTCTCCCAGCTTACACGCGGTTTGATTGGCTAGCGCTTGAACTGTCAGATTTGCATACATGGGATTTGATTGGCTGACGCTTCCACCTCAGCTTCAAAAGTTGAACATTGCTCAACTTTGAATCCTGAAAATCCTGAAAATCTCCGCTCTGCTTCCCACAATGCAGTTCAGCGAAAAGTGAGGCAAAGTGACGTCACCCCATTCAAAGTGAATGGGCAGAAGCGTTCCAAGATTTTTTAATGCTGCTGTGTAGACGCTCCGTTATGGTCACTAAACCTGGCAAAATAAGTCAAAAATATACCTCAAAACAGACGCTGAAAGGTGAAATGCGTCTGTGTGCTGCATGGTAAATAGTATTACAATGCTGATATTTGTACATGTTTAAGTAAGGTAAGATGCATGCATTTATCGTAGCCTTTCCCAGCACTAATAGTCATATACAGTTAAAGAGTATCTGCCTTCAGATGCAAGTAAACCTGAGCGGAAAAAGGTTGAAAGTGTTTTTACTGTAATATCATAAAGCAACACTTAACAGGGTATTATCGACGAATGGGGCGAAGCCTGCGAGCTAGTTCAGGCAGTCAACTCGAGCACCAATGATACATTAACACGTGGCGCACCTCGTCCCTCTTACAACCAACCAAACACATTCTCCTAAACATGCCGCTCTATTGAAGCTGCCAGGTCTTCTTGCCTCTGCCTCGCTATGCTGCTGCTGCTGTGTTCACTTGCTATTGCTA